TCGGGAGAAGAGCCATAGGAGCTCATACAACAGGAGCAGGCGCTATCCTTCCTCTGAGGAAGAGCCTGACCTCTTTCGAAAATGGGATCAAGTACAGCCGAAGGACCGAGAAGAAAGGCGCAGTTCTTTTAAGGAAAAAAAGCACCAACTTTTTCGGGGGGGGGGTGACGGTACAGAGCTTCAGCAATTTCTCACGAAATTCGAGATGGTAGCTCAGTTCAACCGATGGCCGTTTAACGAATGGGGAGTCCAGTTGAGTATGTGCTTGGATGGAAATGCATTAGATACTGTTATGGGACACTCCTCCCCGATACAGGAAAAATATAACGTACTAGTAAGCTTGCTAAGGCGCCGATTTGATCCAGTGCACAAAATACATGTGCATAGAAGTGAGCTAAGGCGAAGATCACGGAGGCCTGGAGAAACACCGGAGGAATACGGACCGGCACTCAGAAAGATCTTTCGCCACGCATATCCAGAGATCGATCAGGAGGATTACGCTAGTTTCCTCACGGACAAGTATTTAGAAGGACTAGAGGACCCCGAAACCAGGCGGTATGTAAGCCTGAAAGACCCCACCACTCTGGAGGAGGCGATCAGCACCGTAGCGCAGTATGAGGCGGTCACTAGGGAGATAAACATCCCAAAGAAACCCCCTTCTCTACACATACATCAAGTGCATACAGAGGAAGGGCAAGAGGAGTCCCTTAAACAAGTATTACAGCAGATCAAAGAATTAGCCACTGAGGTGAAGGAAACAAAGGAAACACTCGCGGAGCTGAAACGATCTGGCATGAAGCACCCGAGCGAGGGAGCACCGCCAGCTGGATACAGAAATAATGCTCGAAATTATGCCACCACTGAATGTTACCTATGCCATCAGCTCGGGCATATGGCCAGGAATTGCCCGCGGAGAACATCACCCTACAGAGGCAGGGAGGAGGGAAAAATGGGAATGTGCACCGGCATTAAGCAGAGCAATACCAGCCCATTAAACTGTTGAGGGCCGGGCATGAGGTCGATGAGCCGGTCCGCAGCAGGGTAAACGATTTAAAGGAAACGACCACGGAACATGAAAATGAGGAAATCCAAGTTGTGAAGGTACTGGGAGAAGCCAAGGAAAAGGATTGTTGGAAGCTGGCTGCGGAGGTAAGCAAACAGTCAGTAGAGTTCGTCGTGGACACAGGATCACATATTACGATACTAGACTCTAGCGTCTACGAAGAAATTAAGAGACCAGGAAGGGATAGTCTGCGCAAGACGACGCGGAAACTATATACTGCGAGCGGAGATCCACTCGTAAGTGAGGGAGAGGTACGACTGTCGCTGGGAATTGGAAAAATCCAGTTCACTTGCCCAGTTACTATAGCTCACTTAGGAACCAGGCAGGGACTGTTAGGACTGAAGTTTCTGGAGAAACACGGAGGAATACTTGATGCGCAAAGAGGAACTTTGCAACTGAACGGGGGAGAGGTCCAGTGTTATAAATCTCGAAAGGAGAGGGAGGAAAACCGGTCTATGTACAGGAGGAAACATTGCTTCACGCACGAGGAAAATGCCTTGTGATTGGGCACACAGGAAGCTCGGAAGATTGGCAGGAAGAGGCTCAGTGGGAGATTGAGCCCATAGAGCAGTACAAACAGGGAAAACTCAGGTGCGCTAGGAGCGTAATCGCAGGAAAGCGAGCAGACGTTCCCCTGCACCTAGTTAACCTAGGGGAAGAAGATATTCTAATCACTGCTGGGACAGAGATTGCACGTATGACTCCCGTACTATACGTTTCGGAAGGACAAATAGGACATTTGTCAGGAGAAACGAGAAAGCAAGACCCAAAGAGCCTGCCAGAACACTTACAGGAGTTAATGAAGAAGGTAGACCCTGAACTAACCTACCAGCAGAGGGAACAGCTGGCGGGTGTTTTACACAAGTACAGGGATGTATTTGCTGCACCGGGACAGGCACTCGGGAAAACAAATATTGCAAAGCATCACATAGATACAGGAGATGCTAGGCCAATAAAACAACCCCCTCGGAGGATACCGATTCATAAGAGAATGGAGGCAGAGACGGAAATCAGTAAAATGATGACAGAAGGGATCATCGAACCTAGCCAAAGTCCATGGGCCTCACCGATCGTGTTAGTGACGAAAAAGGACGGAACAACGCGCTTCTGTATTGACTACCGCAAACTAAACACTGTAACAAAGAAAGATGCTTACCCCCTTCCGAACATAGATGAAATGTTCGACGCATTATCAGGAGCACAGTACTTCTCAGCCTTAGACCTCGCTAGCGGATTCTGGCAGATACATATGGAACAGGACTCAAAAGAGAAAACCGCCTTCGTTACGAGGGAAGGTTTATTCCTATTTAAAGTATTACCATTCGGACTTGCTAATAGCCCCGCCACCTTTGAAAGAGCCATGGAGATCATGCTCCAAGGGATTCAATGGAAACAGTGCCTCGTCTACATAGACGATATCATCATTTTTGGTAAGAACTACACGGAAAGCTTAGAAAATTTGAAGGAAGTACTAGGAAGAATTCAGCACGCAAACCTGCGACTCAAACCATCAAAGTGCGAGATATTTCAAACTCAGATAAAATTCCTGGGCCATATAGTTTCAGGAGAGGGAACACGCACCGATCCTGAAAAGATCAGGGCAGTACGGGACTGGAGGAGACCAGCTACAGTGAAAGAAGTACGAAGCTTCTTGGGCTTTGCTTCATATTATCGGCGATACATTCGTGACTTTGCAACCATAGCAGCACCATTATCGGAGTTGACGAAGAAAAACACTAAATTTATCTGGAGCGAGGGCGCTCAAAAAGCCTTCGAACACCTGAAACATGTACTTACGGATACCCTGGTCTTGGTACACCCAACAATAGACGACGCATTCATACTCGACACGGATGCCAGCGATACTGGGATAGGCGCGGTTCTTTCACAAATACAGGAGGGAGAAGAAAGAGTTGTGGCTTATGCCAGTTACACGCTCAATAGTTCACAGAAACGGTATTGTACAACGAAAAAGGAGCTCCTGGCAGTAATAACATTTGTAAGGAAATTCCACCATTACTTATGGGGACGACCATTTCGGATCAGAACGGATCACGCCTCCTTGACCTGGCTTACTAATTTCAAGAAACCAGAAGGGATGATCGCTAGGTGGATCTCTATTCTCGACACCTACGATTACTCTATTGAGCACAGACCAGGACTTCAGCACGCTAATGCTGATGCCCTATCACGGGCGACAGTATCAAAATGCCCGAGAGAAATGTGCCCGGACGTACGACATACAGCAGAGGAGAGATTAAGCAACTCAGACGTGAGAATACAGGAGGAACCTGTAAGAATCCATCGGGTAGCGGACTTGGGAGAACTAGCAGTTTCCGAGAGTATTGAGACTGCACAAAAACAAGACAGAATCCTTAGAGAAATCCTGCACAGGAAAGAGAATCATCAACTAGCACCGTCCAGGCAGGAAAGCCTAGAAACGGGTGGTGAGATGAAAAACTTTGTAGCTCAATGGGAACAGTTAGAAGTAAGAGAAGGAATCCTGCACAGGAAATGGGAAACACCGGCTACACCCAGCTTCCCTATCTACCAGATAGTAGTACCGACGAAGCTGAGAAGGGAAATTTTCAATCATCTTCATTCACACCGTATGGCAGGCCACCAGGGAGTGCGCCGGAGCGTTTCACTCCTTAGGCAGCGATTCTACTGGCCTGGATATACAGCTGACATACAGCGATGGTGTCGACTGTGCACGAGCTGCGCCAGGAGAAAACCGGGGAAAGGACAACGGCATAGAGAGTTGAAACAATCAACTTCGGGCGTACCTTTCGAACGAATAGCGATAGACATTTTGGGACCCTTAGAAGAAACTGAAAAAGGAAACAAAGTAATCATGGTGGTTTGTGATTATTTCACCAAGTGGACCGAGGCATATGCACTTCCCGACCACCAGGCGTATACTGTAGCCGACACTCTGGTCACACAATACATCTGTCGTTACGGAGCACCGTCAGTAATCCATACTGATCAGGGACGGGACTTCGAATCAAGACTGTTTCAGGAAATATGCAAGCTATTGCAAATTACAAAAACCCGAACATCGCCTTACCGACCGCAGTCGGACGGGTTAGTAGAGAGGTTTAATCGGACCATACAGACGATGTTATCGCTATATGTCAACGAGGAACGAAACGATTGGGATGATCACTTACCGTTCCTCATGATGGCATACCGATCAACAACTCAAGCGTCTACCGGTTGCTCCCCAAACTTACTAATGTTCGGACGGGAGATAAAGCTGCCACTGGACATACTTACCGGATCGCCAAACAATGCCACTATGCCGACTTGCCCGCACGAATACACAGTGTGGGTGAGAGAAGTCATGCATGAAGCATATGCTTATGCACAAGAGAACTTGAAGCAAGCAGCGACCAGACAGAAAAGAGGTTACGATCAAACAGTAAAACCAACCACGTTCCTACCTCGGACATGGGTATGGTATTACTACCCACCAGGGGTGAGGAAGAAGCTAGGTTTAGGTTGGCAAGGGCCATATCTCATCACCAAAAAGATTAATTCGGTACTGAGAGAAATACAACCAGGACCTGAGGGCATGAGAAAAATAGTACATATAGATAGCCTAAAAAGCTATGAAGCTGAGATTTTACCAGAGAGCTGGTTAGACTCTCAGACGGAGAATCTGAGAGAAGAAATCCAGGCAGAAGAAGAATCCGAACCTGTGGAAACATGACCAGTGGATTCTGACCTTCCCGAAACCCAAGTCTCTCCGAATGTCTCAAACCTCACTGAGAGTAGAGACATAGGGGAGATACGGAGAGGGGAAGGGTGAGAAAGCCACCCATACGGATGGACCTGTAGATAGGGTAGATAAATGCTCAAAAATATATGAGATGCACCTAATCTACAACTTTTATTGTCTGTTACAGGAAAACGAGGGAAGAAGAGAATGAAGATGGCAGAAATTCAACTCCATCCACAGCCTGATGAGAGCTTGGATGAACCGAAATACGCATGTACCGAGTTTGGATGTAGCAAGACCTTTAGCCAACCCAGGAATCTTAAGAGACACTTTAGGACAATACATGGACCTGTGATAAGACGATACATTTGCCTATATTGTGAGGGAAAGTGGATGGCAAGGAAGGACGATATCTTAAGACACATCCGGAAGGAGCATCGTGACCAGGAAGTACCAGCCCGGGCAGAAATTCAATCAAGAGAAGTTCCCAGAATAAGTGAGGAGAAAGAGGAAAGCAAGGAGACCTCCACTACAAACACTAGCTGGAAAAGAAAAAGGAGCCCCACTTATGATTACCAGCGAGTGAAAGAAAAGAAGGACGAGGAGAGCCAAAAACGAAGGAAGAAGGTGGAAATCAAACACACAGAGTTGGAAAAGCTGGCGACCTTGTGTCAACAGAACACTTTCTTATTTGGACCTCCTATAAGGGTAGAAAAGGAGGAAGAGGGAAGAGACGAATCAAAACAAGAAAGAGCAGCATGGGCGATGGAAAGGATCCACTCCTCAGAGACAAAAGAGTTATACCAGAAGCATAATCGGAGTAATATGAAAATTGCCCGACTACGAATCCGAATAGGACAGTTTCTGAAGGAGCTCGAGGAAGAGGAAGCTGCTAGAGAAGGGATCCGGTATGATTTAAGGAAATCAGAAGACGAGGACACCAGAAGAGAGAGGAAGAAGTACAGAGAAGAGATCGAGAATCAGGACAGGAGGAAATGACACGAGGAAAAGAAAGAATGGGAGAAAGAGAGGGAAAACCTAAAAGGACAGATCCAGAGCCTGGAGGAGAGGATAGGTGATAAAAAGGAAACCCTCATGAAAGAACTACTTGAGGAGTATCAGATACCGAGAGCAATCTCACCAATCGTCAAGAAGGATCTACTGATCAGCTCATCATCGGAGAGCAGCAGCTCATCAGAGGACGAGGAGGTCACACGCCTTTAGATTATGTGTATATAGGTAAACAGGAAAATGTTGAAAGTTTGAAACATGTAAATATTGTAAATATCCAAAGTTTGAAACTGTGAAGAAAATATCAAGGAAATGTAAATAAGGAGAGCAAATAGAATGTGAATATATATCATTTTTTTATTTTGGAATTATTGTATGAATATATGTGTGCATATATAAAGTTTAAAGTCTTATTAAAAGCAGAGTGTAATTAGAAAATATATTGATGTGTATCAATTTGAGTTGATGTATCAGTAAAAAGTAAACGTACATAAAAGAATTTCAAAGCTCTACTCTCATCTGAGGGCAGATGAGCTAAGTAAGGGAGAGTGTAAGAAAATGAGGCTTACCTGAGCTGTGAAATTGTGTAAATGTAAACTAATTAAGATTCGCACTAATGTTAACGATAGATGGCGCCACGAAGCGACCATATGTACGCAGGAATATACAATAGAGTAAATAGAAGAACAAAAGCACTTTCAGCCTGAGCTTCTGGGAAGAACACATGTTCACCAGGTGAGAGTTAAACTACAACTTCTAAAAACCTGAAAAGTCGATGTAAAATCTTGAGAAATAGAAAGAACAAGTTACTAAAAGTTTAGGAGTTCAAACATGTGTAATTGCAAAGTAAACATAAATAAGTCGCAACTGCGCATGCGCGCGCAGAGCTTCAGCGATAAAAATACGAGAAAAGAGTTACTCGCGGAATGATCCACGGGAGATCTCATTTCTCCCCGGGGGTATAAAAAGCGAGGAGGACCACACATTAAGCCCGTTCATTCAACCACTCTCTATATAGAGCACTGAATACTCACCTGACCAAGGAGATATAAGAGCCGAGGAAGAGAAGAGGATTGAGGTGGGCACCGGACACTCTAAGGTGAGCAAGCTCATACCTTGAGCCAGTATGTTCGCTTATAGCGATCTCTGAGACGGTACTCTCAGCTGGTACATGAGTTAAAGCACTGCACCAGTTCAAAGAGTCACTGCACTTAGAATAAGGAA